CAAACTAGAATGTAGCTTTCATAAATGACCACAAGAGGGCGACATTATTCTTTGTAAAGAATGCTTTTCTGAGGCAGGCGAATTCAAAATCCAGATATGCCAATTCCTTGTTTGTTTTTTAACACACGTATTGCCCAGCCACATTATTATTATCCATCACTGCTTATTGCAATCTCCCAACTTCAAAATCCTATCTATTTATAAATAGAAGACATAAAAGAATAGAAAGGTAGGGTGCCCTCTTGTGGTAAAGCCAAACAATAGCAACACTAATTAAAGTTTATACCTTGAAAGTCTGTCCCTTAAGCATATGTTTGCACTGTAATGTATTACTTGCTGACAATATGAAGTGAAACATGAATATATCTATGATGAGACAAATTTGGGTGATAAAGTGTTTTCATGAAGGTGTGTGAGTCGGGCTTTAACTTTGTGAACAATGAAGTAGTGAAAAGATCTTTTCTAAGAATATATAATGAATCTCAGTGATATAGATATTGCATATAAAGAGGCAAATGTATGTCGTTACACCTGCTTTATTTGAGGAAAAATAATCCTTTATTTTGAGTATAAAAATAAGAGACATCTGATGAACACATACATTCCCATGCAATTGCATTTTACTGTATTTCATGACCTTGCAGATGATTTGTACAGTATTTTTTTTTCTCAGTGTTGTTTTTCGGCCACATTCAAAGTTCAAAACTTGAATCTGAATTCATACTTTTTTTTAAACACAAAGCTTCTTAAATAAATAAATGAAGAATGAAAAAGAAAAAAACCCCACATATCCTGGAATTAAAAAAAACATTTCTCAGGACATTAAATTATTATTAGATTATGCAACAGTGCTGCATTTTTTAATATTTATTTATTTATTGCTGTAAGCAAAACCAGCTGCTTTGCTCATCGCGTCCAGTTATTTGAATTTATTGAGTCTGGGCAAAACAATCACATTAAACATTAATTTAACCGAAAAACCGAGGACGTGTTTTAGTCATTTTGTTTGTCTGCTATAACAAAGTACTTGAGAAATTTTTTAATTTAATATAGGTGGATTATTCGCACGTACAATAAATGCATAAATAAACATATTTAATGAACTAAAAATCAATCAATCAATTACTTTTAAAAGAAGGCAGCAACAGCTAATTTCTCCGCTCATATCTTCTGTAACATTTAACCTTGGTTTTAAAACATTTTTCAGTAGTTATCTACTTTTTCACAAGTTCTCTTTCCTACGACATAATATATATATAGATTATATATATATATTATATATATATATATATAATATATATATATATATATATATATATATATTATATATATATATATATAATATATATAATATATATATAATACTATATATATATAGTAAACGTGCCTTTGCTGTTGGAAATGGTCTCAGTGATTTGATCTGGAGAAAAGAAGGCGTGAGATTATTTCCTTTTACAGGCGAACAGCTGAATTTAAAGCCTGTGTATTATTAAACACGGCATCGTTCCCCCGGAGAAACAAATGGATGTTTACTTGGATGATAAGAGATGCTAATTTATTAGACTTTGAGAGTCCAACACTGGTCATGGCTGTCTGTTAAATGAAAGTTGTCCATGTTTCATTTCCTCCGTCCAATTTGCGCCAGCAGACGCGCGTTCTCCGCCGCCTTGGCTCGCAGGTTTTTGGCCTTGGCCACATCAAAGAGCACGTTCATGATGTTGGTCGGGACGTCCAGGGACAGGGTCAGTCTGCTCCTCCGGTCCCCTTTGTTGCTGTTGCGGAGCATCTGGCCCCTGAGCTTGGTCCGGCTCAAGAAGCGGTAGTTTGCGGGACTTGAAGTCCTTTTTTCCCGACTGGATTCAGCAGAGGAGAAAGAGGACGACGACGTGGAGGATGAGGAGGAGAGATACTCCGCGGACTGCATGAGGGACCCCCAGCCGTCCCCAGTGGAGTAACCAGGCTCAGTTTGGTCATTCCGGACCCCGAGTGCCAGCTGGTCGTCGCAGAGGAGGTCGGGGCGCGTCTGGTAGAGACGCAGGCACAGGCTGGAGGTCGGTGTGCACAGGACCGAGAACAGCAGCAGGGTCTTTAGGGACGACAGCATGCTGTGTCCTCTGGGACCAAAACAGGTGAAGAAAGCCAGAGAATATGAAGTTTTTCTCGCATCTAATCTTCAGCAACGCATGTCAGTGAATTTCATCTTCACTGAGATGCAAAAATAAACCTTACTAATATGCCCATTCTGCATATTAATAGTAAATATTAACAGTACCCTAACAAATCTTGTTCAAATCTACTCTAAGAGTACAGGATTTCGTTTAAAGTTCGATGGATCACAAAAAGCCGGGATGTTTTTAATGTGAAGTTTAGCGCATAAAACTAAAAACAATATTTAATAAAGGTCACAAACGTGTGAGCAATAATGTTCGTGCAACTTACCACTCGTATCCTTTAGTTATAATAATACTTGTATTAAATATAGTTGGAGAGGTTAAGCAGCACTTATCCCCTCAAAGAAAGCGCAAAGAAGGCGAAATCCTCAAGTGAGGTTATTATGAGAAATCCCGATGAACCAACACTGTTTGCGGAGGTCAACAGTGCGCACAGTCTGACCAGCAGCGTCTCCTGCTCGTCCATTCCCACTGTATTCTTTTAGTAGAGCCATCAAAACGCAGCCCTACGCCAGCAACAACGTCATCCCGTTGACATTTTGGTTCGCAGTGAGCCATCCCATTGGCTGTGAAGCAATGAGGTAGATGAATGAAGAAAAAAAAGAAGAAAGTTGTGGCCTCCTGTTGGTGGACCGAAGGCGTCACGACTATTGAAACTTTTTTTTCTGCCTCGCATCAGACTTTAAAAAAAGTGTTTCATGTGCAGCTGCTCCACGGTAGCCTGTAAGAGTCCCAACATCTTTAAGTCATTCAGTGGCATTTGCGTGAAACTGACAGGTTTGCGGTTGATCAGCACCACGGACAGCTCCCATTGACACGTTTGTTCTCAGCTGAGCGCATTTGACGCTTATCTCAGGCGCACTTGGCAGGATATGTTTGGGTTGTGGATCAATAGTTAAATGAAATTGTCTCACATTATAATATTAGGCGTGTCTTCAGAGGTTTCCCAATTACCGCTGTTAAAGCTGCACAAAGAGCGGATCCATTTATGATTTAAAGTAATTAAAAAGTAATGGTTGCAGTGATGAAAGGATGTTAAGGTAAAACAGAGAGGATAAAAAAACAATCAGACCAAATTGGGTAGAGGATGGCGATAGAAAGAACGAGGAGCCAGCACAGGTACAGAAAACCAAACATCTAAACCTGCAAGCGTAAAAACCATAGGTGGGGCTGTCACACCGTCAGCTGAAAGAGGACTGGAAAAGTTGGATTTTCTTTGAGATGCTCTGCAGCCCGGGTCCAGAGAGAAAGTGACATAGAAGGTGATTGATCTGGTTATATTCAACTATGAATGTCATTAGTTAAAGCGTATTAAACCTTATTATATAAAGGTAGAAAGCGCTCACATTACATGCACTGTTTTAGACAATATCTTTCTATAATGAATATATCATTGTATGTTCATTATAGCGAAATGTAAACCTGTAGATTATAGAACAGGTCATAAATATAACTCTTCACTTTATCAAAGCAAATTAAAGTCCTTCAAATACAATATTGTCTCTTTAGCTCATTTTATATATTAATTTCAACAAGACGAAGAACTGAATGAAGAATAAAGGTGCAGAGTTTAAAAGTTTCCCTGCTCTTTCAGATGTCTCCATCGACATCAGTTTCACATCTATTAATAAAGAGATGAGCATTTGTTCCATTTGAAGTTTTAATAAGTTGAGTGACACCACATATAAAAACTTCTGTGCGCGATTCACAAATGTTTCTTCAAAAGAGACGAGAGATATCTGAGATTTTCTAGAGAGCACTGTGTTTTAATTACCGTTGAGTGTACACATGACACGCAGCAGAGTTGATGTACATTACAATGTCAGAATGAAAAAGAGCATACAGGGGGAGACGGCATCAAAGGGCGCTGGGTCAGGGTCTAATGAGCAACTTCACTCACCTTCATTAATATGAATGTAAGTCTTCACAGCTGGAGTAATTGCGTTCCGTGAAACACGAGGCAATGAGATATCCTCCTCCCACTCCAGCTTCCTCCGCAAGTGATCTCTGAAATGGAATTACATGCCCCCTTCAACATCAAGGGGGACAAAAATCCTACATTTATTACATTGACGCTGGTTTGCGTTGCTCTGCTTAGGAGTGAAGGCCTATTGACCACAAAGCACTTTCTTGCTACTGTTTATACTTATAGGTTAAAGGTTGAAAAGATTAAAAAACAGCTAAGTTGTCACTGAGCTCACAAGGCCTAAGAAAACCTTAAGTAGTGAGGCTGTCCTGCATCTGCATGTGTCTTCGCAAAGCAAGTTGTTTATTTTTCTCATCTCTATTTGTCCCTTTATAACTGGATTGGTTCAAAAAGTGTAAATGTCTACATAAGAGTTTAGCAAAATCTACAAGAAAAAAAATGGCAACTTGAAACTATTAAATATGAAATTAAGCTTATGCTTTAAGAAAGTTTTAATATTTCTTTTGCCTTGTGCTTAAATTAAACATTTTTAATTTTATAATGAGATTTCTTTATGTCTAAAAATATCAAGTAGACATATCAAGCATCTTTGCGTGTGGGTGTACATCAGAGTACAGAATCGTGACTAATATGAAGGAAGCCTCTTGGGGCTTGTCTCCTCTGTCAACTTGAAAAACACTATTTTTACAAACCAACCTGAAAAACAGATTAGAGATATGAAAGAACCCAGGAGCAACAACCTGGCAACTTGAGAGCCTAAAATGTGTCGTGCATTTTCATCTGTCACACTGCCAGAAGAGAAAAAAACAACAACCAAAAAACTTCAATGCGTGCTGCCCCCTCATCAACACCCACGCAGGAATCCCCAGCTACTGCTGAGTCGGTCTGATGGAGAGTCCTCTAAAACAGCCCCTGCGTGAGCTCCCACACTGGGCCCCTGTTGGCCCCTCATCTGGCTCCCAGCCTGACCCATAACACCCCCTGCCAAAGAAACATATGTAGTGGTGGAGGAGTCAGCAGGCAGTCAGCTATCAGCTTCTCATTTCTGCACCACACAGGATGTAGGGCGATTGACAAAACATAAGAAAGGTGACAGTTATATAAAGAGATACGCTATAGCGAGCTGGAAAATGAAAGAGGCTGGCATGAAAAAGACAAATCGTGAGGTGGATTTAAGATTTTTTTTTTCAGTAATGTTTATTTTTGGCACGTTTACATTCAAAATCTTTGTCAATGTCAGTCTATTTTAGTAACACAGCTGCAAGAAAACATACTTACATGTGCAGATGTTATGTGAAATTAAGAAAAAAATCATTCACATTTAGACTACATCGCATCCCATTATCCATATATAACAAATTGAAAAAAATCTGTTAAAATATATAAATAAGAGCAATGCAAAATGCAAAAACAATAACATTTTACACAGTTATGTACAAAATTAAGCATCTTGTTTGGGGGTTGCTGGCTCAGTCTCCAAGGTTCTGCGGCTGTGGAGGTGTACATTTTTTTTTAATAGCATCTATAGTATCCGCACATTCATATTGTATAACCAAAAATCTCTTCAAAGCAGGATTTTTTTTCAGTCACTGGATTAACTGTTTGAAGGATTATTCCCTACGCGATCTGATTGGTCCCCCCATAACTCGACTCTCCGCCTCACACCATTCCTCGCACTCATGTCTGGAGGAGAATCTGTTTTGGTTGCCACCACAGCCCCCGTAAACAAACGGTCTGCATTCCCCCGATCGGGCGTGGAAGTACCAGACCAGAGAATAGTCTGAACAGGCTCCTTCTGACATCGGCTCCAGGCAGCGGTCTGTTAATGAAAGAACAGGTAGATGAGGAAAAGCGTAAAGCTGCCCTTCAAACTGACATGCTGTGGAGTCACTCTACTTCAGGGGTGGGCTAACTCCAGGCCTCAAGGGCCGGTGTCCTGCAGGTTTTAGATATCACCCAGGGTCAGCAGATCTGAATCAAGTGTCTAGTTCATTACCAAACCTCTGGTGAACTTCAAGACATGTTGAGGAGATACTTTAGCCATTTAAATCAGCTGTGTTGGATCAAAGACACATCTAAAACCTGCAAGACACCGGTACTCGAGGCCTGGACTTTCCCCACCCCTGCTCTATTTTCACAAGTGTTAGATTCTCAACAAAGTGCAGAGAATATGTTTTGTTGAGTGTATACTCACTTTAACTACAGTTATGGTCAGAAGTTCACACACACATTTGAATTTAGCTTGGATTTTTCTGTCATCCAGGCAGGGATCAAAGTATACATGCAGGATCAAATATATACATATACTGACTTAAATCTTTAAATAAGTGATAAGTTCTACAATGTCTTAACTTGAAAAAGCCAAGGCCAGTTAAATTCTCTGTTGTCATCACGATTGACTACAACTGGTAGTTTTCCCTGCTTAAAAAGGATTTGTTTGACACTACTGATTGAACTGATCAATACTAACAATGGGAAAGTCCAAGGAACTCAATGAAGATCTAATAAGGAGAATCTCTTGGAGCCATTTGTAAACAACTGCAGATTCCAAGATTGCCTAAAACATCCATCTTTTATATCCGGGCCCAAACTCTGCTGCAGGTCCATAAGTCAAACGATCACTGCGGCCTCACTAAGAGCTGAAAAACTGTCTAAATTCTTTCATCTGTAATAAAATGATCAGCGTTCTGCTCTACCAGGTGTAACAATTGAGTTTAACATCCAGGCATCCATGAAAACAGAATTTATGACATTTAACGGAGTTAGACGTTAGCAGGGAGTTAGCTCGCTAGTTTCCATCTAAACATAATACAGCATGTCCTGACTGCAGGGTTTTGGAAACAAATTAAGATGCACAGCTCTGCTATCACTTCCAACATAAATGGAGACAGAAAACTAAACAGCAGTGATGTTTTTAGGGTTACTGAAGTTTGGCTAGCTGGTATATAATGATGTGCTACGTGATTGCTAGCAACACAGCTATGTTAGCATAATATAAACAGTGAAGCTTGAGGAGGAACTCTAACTCTTTTCCACTCAAAAGTTAACATGAGGATTCTCGATGGTCAGAGACAAATCGCATGGCAGGATGCTGTAAACAGACCAAACTTCAGTCGGGACTCGGGAGAGCAACTGAGATCATCCATCCACAATACGAGGTTAGTCATTAATATACTGCTGCATGGGCTGGGCTGTAGTTACATGTAAGGTTTTAAAAACTGAGCTTTAAAATGAATAGCGGTAATAAAAACCGAGAGAGGCCGATAGTGATCACTGACTGTTTTTAGGGGCTTTTTGAGGTTAAATAGAACAAGATACAAAGCATTAAAACATGTTAAATACACAACAGCCTTGTTAAACGCAGGGTAGTTTGGGCCCAGAAGCAGGATTCATCACGTCATCACTTAAAGACCGGATACAGTTTATTTAGCTACTAGTGCTGACGATAAAGGACAGCGTAACTGATAATGATTACTATTTCTTTTTAAATTTATTGTTATAACTGATTATTAGTGCAAATTGTAGCCATATTAATCATACAGTGTCTGTTGCGACAACCGTAGCTGTAACTTAAACTTTATTTTCCTTCTGTAACCGATCCAACCCCTGGGAAATAAAACAGATAAAAGGGTATTTTGAAATGACTGAAAACTTGTTGTGGAAGCTAATATTTCTCCCAGGTTCTCCCAGGTCTATGTGAAAACATTCAAAAAGCTCGAGTGTCTTTACTATGAAAAGGGTGTTGAGTGACATCAAATTTATAATTTTGTTTTGATACACAAAGCAAATAAAGGGAACAAGAGAGGAGGGAGATAGACACAAACAACATCAGTTTTCTTGGTAACTCACTTGCTGTGTTTCTTCCATATACCCTTCTCTTCTTCCTTTGTCCCCACTCCACAGTCCCTCCATCATGAGTATCTGAAGCCAGAAACAAAAGCAATTACTGATACACAATAAAGAACCACCTTCACTGGACATTACGAGTGCCAGTGACATTTTAGCTCATCCAGCAAATTAGTGAGAAACAGTTCTGGACCTTCCAATCATCAACTTTCTGTTTTTCGTGCCAACTATAAAGTACAAACTTTTGAGGGAATTCATATCCTGCTATCATTAAAGCTAAGCGATAAAAGGGGAAATCCAAAAGTATCATTAAAAAATTATTGATAGAGCTGGAACGAACTTTGAAGCACTTCAGCTTTTTGTTCTACAAGGCCTGCTGTATTGCTTTCCCTTCATCTGGATTTATCAAACAACATCACTAATGTAGGGTTTTACTATATTCAGAAAGTGAACAATAAACACTCAGTTCTGAGAGAGACGCTTACATAAAGGAATTCTTCATCACAACAAATGATTTTTGCACGTGGATTTCATAAAAAGGAGGCTTTTAAAGAAATCAAGCACAAGCTAACCCCCTGATTATAAATACACATGAAATTTAAATCACAAGTAAACTCAATAATACCAAAATACAAAAATACCAGTGGAGCATCTGCCTCCATTTCACCCTATCCCGAGCAACTTTTTGTGTGACACCAATCTTCTGCATGTTCTCCTTCACTACACTCCATGAACCTCCTCTATGGACTTCCTCTGTTCCTCTTTCTTCAGTATCTTTTGTGTGGTATGTGCTCTATCCCTCCTCTGCACATGTCCAAAACCATCTCAGCCTGCCAACTTTGTCTTCGAACTGCTCAGCCTGAGCTGTCCCTCTGATGTACCCATCTCTAATCTTGTCCATCCTGGTTCCCCCCTAAAAAATCTTAACATCTTCAACTCTGTCACCTCCAGCTTACAGCAGGTCTCACTACCGTCTTGTAAACCTTCCCTTTCAGTCTTGCTGCCACAAATCACCCCTAGCACTCATCTCCACCCACTCCACTTTGTCTGCACTTTCTTCTTCACCTCTCTTGTGCACTTCTACTGAGTTTGGATGGCTGACCCCAGTTATTTTAAACTCACCAATCTTCACTATCACTTCACTGTTATATCTGTCTTCCTCTCATTCACACACATGTATTCTGTCTCGCTTCAAGTGACTTTCATCACTCTTCTCTTAAGAGCATACCTCCACCTCTCCAGGCTCTCTTCCACCTGCTCCCCACTCTCATTACAGATCACAATGTCGTCATTGAACATCATAGTCCACGGAGACTCCTGCCTGACCTCATCTGTTAAGCTTTCCATCACCGCTGCAAACAAGAAGTGGCTCAGAGCCGATCCCTGATGTAATCCCATCCCTACCTTGAACCCATCTGTCACTCCAACTGCACACCTCGCCACTGTCTTGCTGTCCTTACACGTTTTCACTCCTTGGGCATCCTCTCATGAAAACAATCTGGTTTTAACACAAAAAAATCCACTACCCACTCTCCTAGACATCTGCATACATCCACAGGTATGCAGTCGAAAGTTTTAAATGTTTGTACTACAAAAGTAATAAAATATTTAGCCCACATGTGAAGAAAATCCTTCATTCTTGGGTATTCTTTTTTTTACAAAAAGATGCTTCATTCCTTGTGAAGAATTTTATCCATTGAGTGCTCACAATCTAGCATTTCAGGACAGATAAGAAGAGCTATTCACGTGAGGTTTATAAGTTTATGTAAGTATCCGCTAGAGGAATATTGTCCATCTTAATTATTTGTTGTAAAACATCAGATTTCGTGCAACAAAACAAGTGAACATAAACACCATATTTATTTAGGTGTGAATGCTGAGCTGTACTTGTACAATCATTATTTGGGGAACAGATGAGTACTATATTTAATGATTTAAATGAATAAATAAACCAGTTGACATTGACACAGGGCAATGACAGCCTTGTACTTTGATCAGCTGTCTGGTTTATGTACCTGAAGCAAGAATTACAATAATTTGGGATGCAGAAAGCAATTTCTGCCCGTGGCTGTATTAGCTAATAAGCATCACGGCATGTGAGATTGCTGGTACAAGCTGACCTTTGGTTTAACTTTGTGGCTTCCCTGTAATAGCACTCTATTTAATAATTACTACATTTTGGTTTCCTTTTCTGTCCATTGCTTAGCCTTTTTTGGGAGAGCACTCACAGTGGTGAGACTGACAAGAAAAAATGGAAAAAGTAAGCTGGTATGGCATCACAACACAGATCTCTAGATGTGTCTGAACTGAGTATGTTGCAGTTCTGGGATATTTGCATCACTTGTAGATGTCATAAAAGGTAAAAAAAAAAAAAAAAAGGCACAGACCTGGCACATAAAGAGATATTACCTAATCACATCACCTTTAATCAGACATGTTCAGCATGTTCAGTGGTGCTTTTACCTTAATGTTTAACTAAAGAATGGATACAGTATCAGAGACATGTAGGCAGGCATGTTTTCTTTGTCCTTGTCAGGACACAGCACATTTTAATTGCCTGCATCACAGCTGCTACACATAAGGTTGATATATGCAGCTATTTAGCCAGACACTTGGTCACACGCTATCTAAGGCATCTGTGTGTTTGGCCAGAGGCGCTGACCCTGCAAACAGCTACTTGTGTTTCTTACCAGTCTGGTTTTGTGGGTGCCCTTCTCCCATGTTGTCTGCCATGTTTTCTTCCATACTTTGTTCATGCAGGTCATGGGTGATAGATTTCACAACGTCTTTTTGGTCATTTTCATTCTTAGTCACTGCAGTTGTTGCATCTGGGTCAACAGATTTTACCATGAACTTGTATTCCAATCCTGCAGTGATAAAAACAGCATGACTTTTTTTTTTGCTAGGAAAATGGGAAATGGCTAACACCTCTTTGGGAATCATCTTGTTGGGGCAGAAATACTTTTATCTTTTTTATGTTTGGATAATTTACAGTTCACTGTGAAGTAGCTGACTTACAAAAAGAATTTCTTTCAAAATGGTCAAGGACTGAACTGAAAATGAGTGATGAAGCAGCAAATGGACAGCCTGGAGAACTATCGCTCACAAGGACTTTGAAACAATTACAAGCAAGTCTGGCTCCTTGGAAGCAAAGTATAAAGAAATGAGGGCTGGCACAAGGTTTTTGCACAGTACTGTATATATTTGTCATGCATCAAATTTAAGTAATTAAATTAGCCATAATACCATAGTTTAACTAGTATTTAAGTATTTAAAATATTTTCTTTCATTCTTTTATTTCCTTCAGCTCACTTTATTTATTAGTTTATACTTTATTTCCCTGTAAAGTGTTCCTATGAATATGTGGGAGTGCTATTGTTTAATAAAGACAAACAGCAGGAAACAAGAAAACAAACACATAAAAAAAAAAAACACACTATCTATTCACAAATTATACTCGGAACACTTCATAAATCAATAGACTGTTCCTTTTCTGTTATCGCATACAAAAATTAAATATATTTAAGCAAATGAGACTATATTTTTACATCAACCACTTGTGGGTAATTAGCATGTCTGAGAGGCAAACCTGTGTTACCGTTACTAATAGGCAGCAGGAAAATCCAATCCTTGTCAAGGATGCAAAATGTAGTCTAGATATTATACAATAAATTCAGTTAAATTGAGTTTAATTTAAGATCATCTCAAATTGTGGTTTGAGTCACAGAGCTTTCATTCTATCTTTCCATGAACACATACGGCATGCCAAAATGTCTTCAGTGAAAAAGGTGTATTGCAGACAATCAGCCTCCAAATATCGTGAATGTGCCGTGGAATCTGGGTGAGGCGTTCTACTTAATGGCTGTCTTGTGTTTGTGAATGGCTCTGCTGTTGCTGGCACCATGATGCGTGTTCCTCTGAGAGAACATAACAGATGGCTGAACACACACGGGTGCCATGCTGCTGCCACGGGAGCTCTACAACAAACAAGCACGCGTTCGCAATATGCAGGCCTATCTAGAGGCACACGTTTATTCACTCATGGATGAAGTACAAGTGCACGTACTGTAGGAGGTTGAAAGTGTACAAACGAATAACACGTGCGCACAAGCACACTCTTACCGCACTTTTCTACCACCTCCTGGTTGACTAGCTCCTTCACTTCTTCAGCCTTGAAACGAAGAAATGCAAGAATGTGAATAATTTAAATGACAAGTCAGTTTTTAGCCTTTTGTCACGTGTGAGTGTGCAAGCGTGCTAAGACGTACTGAGAGTCCAGGCTCTCCTTTCTCCCCTTTTGCTCCTTCAATACCAACTTTACCCTAAAAGGAAAAGATATTAACATATTATATTTATATTGGATGACAGATTCAGACAGTTTACTGACATTTGCACTGAAAAGTGATGAGACACAACAACATATTTGGACCCACACTTCTCTCAAGTTAACATGTACACAATATTCAGTTAAGGAGAAGGCAGCCATGCAGGTAATTTCACTTATTTTGGCTTATTACACCTTTTAGATCTAACAAGGACTAAAAGTCGTGTGAAAAGGAAAGTTTTCACAGCAAGTGTGACCACCTCTATTAAAAGGTTTTTAGTGGTGTGCCAGACTGAAAGCATTCAGGTGTGTGTTAACACAATGTCCACTTACAGAAGTGAACATCGCAGCAATCATGTGTTTTATTTTGGTGAACACATGAAATACAAAAATACAGATCTGGAGACTACAAGGCTGAGAACTGAAAACATACGTGAGAGAGAATATAGTGCCCTTAAATATGAGGTCACAAGCCAATTTTTAAAATCAAATCAAAATACTTAAATCTCTTGATTGTTCTATTGCTGTGTGTTTTGCATGTGTTAAAAAAAACAGTTTGCACAGGGCTCTAGTTCTTTAAATATAAACAAAAAGTGACATTTACTGTCAATGCTAAACCATTTATTTGAGCTTGTGCACAGAATACATGAGAGTTCAAACACTGGAACAAGAGTGTTTTAACTGTGACCATTAAAAAAAAAAAAGTAGAGGTATGATTAGGCAAAAAGGTCTGTTACTACTGGTGACTTTTGAAGTCTGAAATCTGCATGTTGCAGTTTGCTAACACAGCTAATGTTATTCAGCTGATTTGGTGTGTCATTAATTGCTCTATGTAATGGTATCATGGTATTTGCGAAGGACTACATAGACACAATACCTTCAAAACGAAGTTTAGTAAGATAGCCAAGATATTAGTGCCTTTGGGACAGAGCTTTTAAAAGAACACTGTTGGACGGGATGTGTTTATTTAGCTACTGAGTATGACTATCAAAAGTCTCTTGCAGACAGACCTGCAATACTTTTAATGCTGTGCAAAATAAAAGCGCAACAGAACTAAACTAAAACTAAATAATTAGCCACACTTTTACATTATCAATGTATCAAAAACAATGTGCAACATCAAAGGGATTACTCATTAGTGGCAAACAGACAACTCTTCAATCCACCACATCTAAACAGAGCCTTGAGCATCTTTTAATCTCTAATGTGGGCTGGATCTGTTTTGGAGACCAAACAAGAAAATATCTTAAAGAAGAGATAATATTTTCTTGGTGACCAGAAAAATATCTTCAGGCAGCCAATAATGTGTGTAATGCATTTTAAATAATTTCATTTAAATTAAACATTTCTAATGACTCTGTCACACTAGAGTAAAAATAGAAAGACAAACTGTAACCAACTACAAGTAGTTGCAGCAACCAACTGGTTGTCCATCTTCAAGGTGATTGTACTCGTTGAGGGAGGTAACCTGTCTCCAAACAATCCCAGTCTGACTTGCATTAACTCAATCATTCTCAAACAGATTGTTGAAGGGTTGCAAATACAGTCCTGATCAGAAGTTTAAGACCACTTAAAAAAATGGCAAAAAAAATATCACATTTTGCATGGTTGGATCTTAACAAGGTTCCAAGTAGAGCTTCAACATGCAACAAGAAGAAATGGGACAAAACATTTTTTTGAGCATGCAATTTATCGAAAACAATGCTTAAACTGAAATAGGCTGTTTTACAGCTGGTCAAAAGTTTAGGACCACACCTCCAAAAACAACCTGTAACACCCCCCCAAAACAGAAATCAAAGTTCAAAACATGAACTCAGTAATGAGTAGTTCCACCATTATTGTTGATCACTTCAAAAATTTGTTGTGGCATGCTTGATGCAAGTGTTTCCATGAGGTGAGTGGAAACTGCAAGCAGTGAAGACGGCCGCATGAGGGGCATCTACTCGATGGAGCTGGTGTTCATTCATCTTGTCATCCATCCCCAAAGGTTCTTATTTGGATTTAGATCAGGGAAACATGCAGGATGGTCCAAAAGAGTGATGTTATTCTCCTGGAAGAAGTCCCTTGTCCTGCAGGCATTGTGTACTGTAGTGTTGTCCTGTTGAAAAACCCAGTCATTACCACGCAGACGAGGGCCCTCAGTCATGACGGATGCTCTCTGCAACATCTGGACATAGCCAGCGACTATAGTGTTTGATGCCCCTGCACCTCCTGACACCTCATTGTTCCACTGAAGGAAAAAGCACCTCAGACCATTATGGCGCCCCCCTCCACTGTGACGCGTAGACAATATCTCAGGTGGGATCTGCTTGTATCATCAATGTTAAATTCTTTCTCATTAGAGAATAAAACTTTCTTCCCCCTTTCAGTGTCCCATGTTTGGTGCTCTCTTGCAAAGTCCAAAGGATCATTTCTGTTGCGTTCAAGGAGACGAGGCCTTTCAAGACAGCCAAGAAGCCCTTCAGTCTCAGATGCCGTCTGATGGTTATGGGGCTGCAGTCAGCACCAGTAACAGCCTTAATTTGGTTCGAGGATTGTCCAGTGTCTTGACGGACAGCCAGTTAGATTCTCCAGCTCATTGCTGGTGAAATTATTTTCAGGTTTTCCACTTTACTTTTTTGTTCCATAACCCCCAGGATCATTTAAGAAATTCCAAATGACTGTCTTACTGCGTCCCACCTCAGCAGTGATGGTGCGCTGTGAGAGACCCTGCTTATGCAGTTCAACAACCCGACCACATTCAAAAAGGAAATGCCATCAGAACGTCATGACTGTGTGACTACCTGACAAAAAATGATAATGAATCCACATTTTTGCACAGATTTGGCCTTTTAAAGGCATGTGGTCCTAAACTTTTGATCAGCTGTAAAACAGCCTGTTTCAATTTAAGCGTTGCTTGCAATAAACTGTATGCCCAAAAAATATTTTGTCTCCCATTTCTTCTTGTTAAGATCCAACCATGCAAAATGTGATATTTTTTTTTGCCATTTTTCAAGTGGTCTTAAACTTCTGATCGGGACTGTATCTATCATGTAATTTAAAAACATAATCAGATTGACAGTAATCAGAGTCAGTCTGCATCGGTGAACGTAACTTTTCAGCAATTTTGCTGAGTGCCTATGTCATTTTGCAGTTAAATTACTGTACTGCAACAGCTACGTCACTATTTGTGGAGGAATTTCTGTTTCAGATCTGAGGTTTTTATTCGACTCTGAATGGAAGAAGTAAATGTGAATTTCTGTTTAGTGTGAATTTCTGTGGATGTAGACAGCAACAGATTTGCAACAGATGGCAACAGATTTGCCATTTTCCCCAATTTTATCACACTTAATCGGCATATTATCAGAAACAGATGCTTGACGCATTCAACTGCAAACTGATAGCAGACCGACTCTGTCTTATTGCTGTTTAATTGCCATCTTTATGCACCGAAATATCTTTGAGGACAACAACCATCGCAGACCTCGTCCCCGTCTTCTAAGCAACCTGTTTTCCTTACTAGTACTTCAGCATTGTGTTTTATTTTTGCCTCCCAAGTTTAGCCAAAAGTACTAAACACAGATTCTGGCAGGAGAAACACACGGACCCTGTACCACCAGCAATGTGGATGTGGATGGTACTTTTAAATGAATATTTATGTTGTTTATTATGAATATAAAGCAAAATTATATACTTTAGCTCTGTGAAAGTTACAGGAAATAGTATAGATGAAGGGATGTTTCTGAATTACAAGTGTGCTCGAAGAAAGCTGTGTAGAGATGCGAGTGCTGTGCGTCTCACATTTTCTCCTCTGTGTCCTGGTGTCCCTGGTGCTCCACTCTGACACTTCTTTGATCTGCCTCTTTTACCCCTGTCCCCCTGTTTGACCAAAAAATGCAAGTGCACACAGGGAAAATATATATTTTTAAATACAACACCTCTAAATCATCAACAACAAGAAAATATGTCCATAGCAGCACACCTCATCACTCACTTCTAAACAATATGAAAGACAGACCAATTAGGCACATCCTTGGAATATCCTCATTAGAGGTTTCCAGCCACTCTCTGTCAACACTGAGAGTCCAGTAATTGTAGCTGAAAGGAGCTAATTGAGTAAGATATTACTTGAAAGCTGCAGACAGAAATAGACCTCTCAGTCTGTGTGTGTGTGTGTGTTTTAATTGAGGACATGTCTCTGCTGTATCCACTGCTGGTGCCACTCTCTTACAAAGACACGGTGATGACTGTAATCAATTCAGCTCCTGCTCATTGTGTTCTGTCACATATTTAGTCTTCTCTTGTTGGGCTTTAAAGTTCAAAAATGTATTTGTGAGTAAGTGATATAAGCTATGTACGCACAGGTGCCCGTTCTTTCCTATAAATGGACTACCAATTTAGTGAACCTGCTAAATTAAAAAACATATACATTATAAGACTCTGATAGGGCATATACTTATAGAAATATGTTTCCCTCAACTGCATACTTCATTGCGTATTTGTGCCTTTATGTCTGGAGCCTCTAATTTAGCCCCATGGCTTTTTAGTGCTGCCAAGACAAGTTTTTGTTACATGACTATATTGTGACTGCATCATTTAGTTAAAGACTGTAGCCTTCATGTTCAGTGTTGAGTAAAAACATACCCCATTAAAGTAGTGATCAACTACTCCACTAATGCGTGCCAGTCTTGAAATAAAAAGTTAATATCTGTTGATAAGTTCTAACTTTTGGCCCCGATATTGTGTGATGACAGCTTGTAGAGGGCATCTCATGAATATCACATTTCTAAAAGACAAAAGTGACGATTCTGTATGACGGTACTGATGACACACGTAACTTGTGAATAGGTGCTTGGAAAAGTAAAGACAGCGCTAGACTGCTTTTAATTTGTTATCATAAGATAATGAAGTCGTGATCAGGGGAACAGCAGGTATCTTGGAGATAATTAGACTGTGTTATTGATAATGAGCCTGTGTTTCATCAGCAAGTACAAGTACCTAAAGAGTTGGGTATAATGTACCTTAGGCCCTTTGTCTCCTTGAGGCCCTGGCGGTCCCGGTGGTCCCATATCACCGTCCCTTCCTGGACTTCCTGCTGATCCCTTAAAACCTGGGAAACCTGGGAAACCTGCTGCACCCTGAATTCATTAAAAGAAAATTTTGATCACAGTGGCTAAACACCTGTAAAGCTACATCATTATATAAACATAAACAGATTTCACAATCTTTTAATAAGATATGAAAATAAACTCTAGGATAAAAAATCACAGGTCATATGGCTTTGAATTGACAAACCTTTTCCCCTTTTACTCCAGGATCACCATCAACACCATTGATCCCCCCTTCTCCCTTGTCTCCCTAACATTTCACAAAATGAGAAACAGTAACTGATTTGTGTGTGTGTGTGTGTGTGTGTGTGTGTGTGTGTGTGTGTGTGTGTGTGTGTGT